CTCATGGGTTCAAGGAACGTGTCTCTGGAGAGAATTCTCAGACTCGTATCTCAGCCCTAGTCTGTCTCTCAGACTCCCACCCCACACTGACAATTTCTTACTGAACATTTCAACCTGGATGACCCGCAGACATTAGAAACTCGACACGTCCAGGGAGAGCTCATTATCTCTTCCCCCAAACCCACTCTTTGTTTCATTTCCCTGGTTCCATCCCAGGCACTGCCATCCTTCCAGTTACAACCTCCCTCACCAGTTAGCCTGCACTGCTTCGTCTCCCTCACCCCTCATTTTTACTCAGTTGCCAAATCTTGTCATTTCTTCCTCTATAACATCTCTTGCATCTGTCTCCTTTTCTCCTCTGCTCCCAAGGCCACCATGCTCATTCCGGCCTTCAGTGACTTTATATGGTCTAAGTCATCTTTCTTTTTCTTTTTTTTTAAGGCAATTGGGGTTAAGTGACTTGCCCAAGGTCACACAGCTAGGATTTGAACTCAGGTCCTCCTGGCTTCAGGGCCGGTGCTCTATTCACTGTACCACCTAGCTGCCCCAGACATTCTGTGTTCTAAGGGCCCTCCCAGCTCTGACATTCTGTGTCCTAAGGGCCCTCCCAGCTCTGACACTCTGTGCTCTAAGGGTCCTCTCAGAAGCCTTATAAGATCTGATGCAAACTGAGGTGAGCAGAACCGGGAGAACGTTGTACACACTAGCAGCCATGATCAACAGTGAGTGACTTGGCTGTTCTGCCCAATGCAATGACAATTCTGAAGGGCTTACATTGAAAAATGCTCTCCACCTCCATAGAAAGATCTGACGGACTCTGAACTGATTGTTCTTTCACTTTCTTTAGTTTTCTTGCCTTTTTTTCCAACATGGCTGATATGGAAATACATTTTGCATGATTTCACATGTATGAAATGATTAATATCACATTTCTTGCCTTCTCAATGGGTAGGGTGGGGAGGCAGGGGGGAGGCAGAGAATTCAGAACTCAAAATTTCTAAAAGGATGTTAAAAATAAAGAAATAATAAATTTATTTAAATAATAAAAGCATCCACCAATGTCATAGTAAAAAAAAATAAAATAGGCATAATATATAAAAAAGCGCCCTCCCCACCCCTCCTGCCCTGACATTCTCTGTTCGAAGGTCCTTCCTGGCTCTGACATCCTCTGGTCTATGCCTCTAATCTCTGATGGTCTCCACTCTAAGGTCCTTCCCGGCTCTGACATCTTCTGGTCTATGCCTCTCATCTCTGATGTTCTCCATTCTAAAAAGTCCTTCCCGGCTCTCACATCCTCTGGTCTGTGCCTCTAATCTCTGATGTTCTCCATTCTAAGGTCCCTCCCAGCTCTAACACACTGTGATTCCATGGGGCCTGAGCCCCACGCAGCCCGGCTCCCTTTGCCCAGCCCTGCCAGCTGTTAGTCGGAGGGGGGCTGACAGATGGCTTGTTAGCTGGTTGGGAGAACAAAAGAGCACCTGCTCGTGACAAGGCACTAGGATGCCAGACATCAGTATCTGCAGAAAGAGAGGGCCCTCAGTTACGGAAGCAGCATCCCTTCCCCTCTTCCATCATTAAAGCTGATAACTGTTGTCTGATGAGTATTAGGTCATTCCCGATCTGCTGAGGGCCTTCTCATCCCCCTACAGCCCTCCCCAGCCATTCATTATCAGTTGTAGTCAAGGGCCGAGGGATTTCTGAGCCTGGTAGAGGGCAGAGTCTGGGCACCAAGAGTGATGGACATTAGATTTGTCCCTCTTGGCAGGACTTTTTCTAGTGTGGTGCCCTCATATTTCACTCCCCCCTCCCATCCGCACTGGAGGCTGCCGCAGGATTGCTTCCTCATCCTGCCAAGTTCCCCATAACTGAAGTCACACCATGGACCAAGAGCCAGCAGTCCGGAAGGGAAAGTCCCAATGATGGATGTGTTGACTGTGCCAACAGATGGGGTGAAGAGATTGATAGTGAGGAGAAATGGCAAAGAAAAAGGTAATGGGAGAAGGGCTGGGGCTTCTATAATGAATCAATGACATGCAAATACATGCATACTAATTTTGAGTTATAAAATGCTGGATTATTTTAGAAAATTTCTCGATGCACTCCCAAGGTGCAGGAATTCCCTCTATGGTGGTCCAGGAAGAGGGTCATTTAGTCTCTGCTTGAACACTTCCAAGGATGGGAAGCTCACTACTATTTCATGAAGCAGCCTATTTATTAGACAGTTTTTTAATTATGGGTAAATTCAATCTTTTCCTGATTTCTTTGATGTCAAGATGGAAATACAATTGGACAGATTAGTCCCTGGACCATATAGATTTACACAATGTTGAATAATGTCAGCAGAAGGGTGGAGGGTCTAAAATAGAGTGCTACAGGGCTTGAATCTCAGCCTTTTTCTGTTCACACTTTTTTACTAATGACTTGGACAAAAGGATGTTTATCAAATTTGTGGATGGCATTTGAAACTCGGAGGAATAATCAACAAAAAGGATGACAGAATGAAGATCCAAAAATTCTCCATGGACTAGAGTAGGGTGATACAATAGAAAGACCATTGACTTTAGAACCAGAGAGCCCACAGTCAAATCCCACCTTTGCCACCATCTAGCTGTGTGATCTTGGACAAGTCACCTAAGGTGCCTGGACCTCAGTTTCTTCATCTGTAAAATGAAAAGGATGGACGAGATGGCTTCTGAAGTACCACTAGCTTTAAATTGGTCATCCTAGAAACCACTGGCTGAATGTAATCAAATGAAATTTAGAAGAGATAAAGGTAGAGCATATTGTGAGAGTAAAGAGAAGCAGGATGAGGATGGGGCTTTGGAGCACACCCATGTACAAGGGCAAAGGCATATCTATGCACAAGGGGCAGGGAACATCCATGCACAGGGGGCAGGGCACATCCATGCACAGGGGGTGGGGCACATCCATGCACAGGGGGCGGGGCACATCCATGCATAGGGGGCAGGGCATAGATGAAGATTCAGCAAAGGAAAGCCAGAAGGAGCAGTCAGTCATGGAGGAGAATCAAGAAAGTGGTGTCGCAGAAGCCAAGGGAAGAGGAAGTAATCCGGAGAAGATGGGCAACTGAGTCTCACACAGTGTCCAGACATTGAAGGACTGTGGAAAAGCCATCTAACTCACCAGCTGAGAGACCGCTGGCAAGCTTGGAGAATTCCAGGGGAGTAGATAGGGTCCAGAGATAGTCATCAATATAGATTAGAGGGGGAGTGGGGCGAGAAAGTAGAGACAAGTGTCTTTTTTTGTTGTTGTTGTACTGCAAACAATGGATCATATGATCTGGCAGCTAAAAAAAGCTTAATATAATCTTGGTTAGCATCTGTTCAGTCACATTCGACTTTTCCTGACCTCATTTGGGGTTTTCTTGGCAAAGCTACTGGAGTGGTTTGCCATTTTCTTCCCCAGTTCATTTTACAGATGAGGAAACTGAGGCAAACAGGGTGAAGTGACTTGCCCAGGGTCACAAAGCTAGTCAGTGACTGAGGCCAGATTTGCACTCAGGTCCTCTTGACTCCAGGGCAGGTGCTCTATCCACTGCACCACCCAGCTGCCCTGGGACACCATATGTAGCGTTATTTTACTCTTGTTTTCATCTAGTATTTACCCATCTATGAATCGTGAACCTGCCTTCAAGATCTAGCTCTGACACAAACTGGCTGTGTGAGCCTGGCCAATCACTTCACCTCACCAACGCCCCAGGCAGCTTCCTTACACTTTACATTGCAGAGAGGGTGTCCACTGCATTGGTAGAGGGGATATCCTCACCTGGGAGTTCTGGGGGGGGGAACCTTCGGCCTCGAGGCCACATGTGACCTTCCAGGTCCTTGGGTTCGGCCTTTTGACCGAGTTCAAGTTTGACAGAACAAATTCTTTTATTAAGGGGATTTGTTCTGTGAAGTCTGGGTTCAGTGAAAGGGCTGCACTTGAGGACCAGGAGCGACACATGTGGCCTGGAGGCTGCAGGTTCCCCACCTCTGAACCACTGAAGTCCTAGTTACGCTATCCCTCTACAACTGGGTCCTTCCAAATAGAATGCCCCTTTAAGGCTGGGGACCATTTTTCATTGTTGGCTTGGCATTCCCTGGGCACAGTGGCTGGCACATGGTTGATGATACTTCACGAATATTCTTGACTAGACTTGAATTCGAACGCCTGAAGGGCTGTCATGAGGGTGAGCAGTTCACAAATAACCTTCTGGGGAGGGGTATTTCTGAATTTCCTGAGCCCTCCACCTCCAGATCTGACTTTGGAACTCCTCTGATGCCTGTCCCCTCACACGTGGGACTACTGGGGGGTAATGGGGGAGGTGGGACGGGAGAGGGAGAAGGGGAGCCGGGAGTGCCCTGGGGCAGGCCTTCCTCCTCCAGTTGTCATTCCTCAGTTGGTGCATTCTCCACTGCCCTCAATGTAAGCTCCTTAGGCGGTGAGGATGGGGGATTAGGAAGGGTCTTTTGTCCTTTTTGCCCACGGATCCACATGGTGGGGATTTAATCCATGTTTGCTGAGTTAGACTGGTTCCGCTTGGCCCCAGAGTGCAGAAATGGGAGCAACGGGTGGCTGTAACAGGTAGGCAGACGGGCTGGTTTTAAGGAAAAGCTTCCTAAAGATCAGAGAGCAGCCAGAGGGAGGAGGGAGGTACGTCTTCGCTGGCGGTTGAGAAGAGGCCGGATGGCCACTTGTTGGGGGTGTTGGAGAGGGGATGAGGATGCACAGGAGCCCACGTCTGGCTCACACTGGCAGCCCCCGCCCTCGGAGCCCCTCCTGGGCTCCGCGCGGAGACCTTGGGATTCTGCTTGGTGAGCGCAGACCTGGAACGTGTGTCTGGGACCTGGCTGGGAGGAGATGGTTGGGGATGATCTGGCCGGTCCTGGAGGGCGGGGCCGGGCAGCACGTGGGTCTGGATGCCGGCTTTGGCCCCGCCCCGCGGTGCTTTCCCTCCCTCTCTCCCAGGGCGCTCTCTCGTAGCCCCGAAGTTTCCCATGGAGTTTGTGGCCGCGCTGCGCCTCTGCCTGTGGCTGGGGCTGGGGCTGGGGCTGGGATCCGGGCCGGGGCCGGGGCTGGGCCACCCGCAGCCCTGTCCCCGGGGCGCGCAGCTCGGGGGCCCGCTGCGCCTGGGAGCCCTCCTGCCCCGGGCGGCGGCCCTGCAGCGCCGCTTGCGGCGCGCCCTAGCCCGGGCTGTCTCGGAGGGCTCATGGGGGCCCGAGCTGGGGCCGGAGCCGGAGCCGGAGCTGGAGTTGGAGGCCCCCGCGCCCCCCTCCCGGGACCCCGCCTCGTTGGCAGCCTGGCTGTGCCGCCTGCTGGCCCGGCCTGGGCTGGCTGCACTGCTGGCCTTCCCCGAGTCCCGGCCCGAGCTGCTGCAGCTTCACTTCCTGGCCGCCAGCCTGGAGACCCCCGTGCTGAGCCTGCTGCAGCTGGACGCGCGCCTGCCGCCTGCCACGCCGGTACGGCCCCCACCCCCCAGCCACTGACCCTCATCTTCTCCCTAGGGAGCCCGTAGACTGGCTTCCAGCTTCCCCCGCCCCAGCACGGACTGCCAGACTCCCCTTCCCCTACCTCCCTTGCCCACAGAAGGCCACCCGGACTGCACCCCACTGTTCCCTGTCTCTGCCCCCAAGAGCCCTCCGACGCTGCATCCCCTCACCGAGACTCCTAGCGTCCCAGCCTTGCCCCAGGGAGACCCCCAGGCTGCACCCCATTGCCCCCCCATCTCCATTCTCAAGGAGACCTCCCGGACTGCACCACTTTCTAGGGACTTCCAGTCTTCCAGCCTTGACTCGGGGAGCCCTCAGATTGCACCCTGTTGTCACCTATCCGGGTCCTCAGGGAGTCTCTCCTTCCCGGGACTCCTAGTCTCTCAGCCTCGACTCGGGGAGCTCCCAGATTGCAGCCCGCTGTCCCCACCGTGGTCCTCAGGGAGACCTCCTGGATTGCACCTCCCTTCGGGGACACCCAGCCCCTCAGCCCTGTCTCCGGGAGTCTTCCTTCCCCAAATTACATCTAGACCTGCTCATTGTCCCTGTCCTCACCCTGGGGAGCCCCTGGGGAATTATACTCTCCCTCATACCCTTACCACTATCACTGAGGAGTTCCCAGTATATCACCCTCTTCTCAAGACTCGAAGCTCCCATTTATGCCCCCAGGAGGCCTCCCAGTCTTGCCTCTCTGATCCCCACAACCCAGAACTCCCAGCCCCCCCACCTCAGCTCCACCGTGATCCTCCCAAGGTCTGCATCCCTGAATCTCTTGGGCACCCCTGGTGCATAGCTTCTTCCTTTCTGATCCAGCAGCTCCCATTAACCCTCTCTTCAAGCCCCTCGTCATCTCTAGAATACCACCCCCCAACCCCTTTCACAACCTCTGGGGTAGCCTCAGGATTTGCCTCACTCCCCAGCCTCCTTTCCCTTGATCTATTACCCTGGACCCTCAGACCGTCCTTCTTGGAGGCTGCAGCTCCCCCCACCCCACGCCTTCACCTCCAGCTCCACCTTCAGAGCCCCCAGTGTCGTCACAGGCTTCCCCCTATCCCTCCTTCCTTAAGGGTGGGACTGCTACGGGAAAGAGGAGAGGTGAGACAGGAGGGAGAGGGGGGCACCTGGGAGTCCCCGACTTTAGGGAAGTGCCTTGAGGCAAGGGGAGAAGGTAGGGATAGAGATGAGGAAGATCTGGAGGATATTCCCCACTCCTGGCTTGAGAGAAGCTTGCTGGGGGGCTCCACTGAGGTGGGGGGAGGGGAGGAGTGACTGAGAAGAGGGTTTGGGAGACCGAGGGAAGGAGGACGCAGTGCTGTGGGTCCCCAAGAGGGTGTTGGCAAGGGTAGGGGCTGGGAGGGAAAAAGGAGAGGTGGGGTGGAGTGCTAGGGCCTTGGGGAGCCTGGGAGCTCCGGGCAGGGAAAAGCCTTGGTCTCAGGCTGACTGGTAATGAGTGGGAAGGAGGGGAATAGCTGTAGGATCTACCTAGACCCCCAGGAAACAAGGCTTTGGGGCTGGGAGCCCACCAGGGGGACAGCCTAACATTCTGTCATTGGATCCCACCTTCTCAACTCCTGGATTCCTCCTTGGGGTCCCAGAGTCCTGTTCTCTGTCGTCCTGTTCTCTGTCGCCCTCTACCAGACAGCGCTCCATATGGCACCCAGAGGTCAGGGCTTAGTGATTCAACAACGTTTGACTATAAATGAAGGGGCATTCATCAAACACCTTATGTGCTAGGAGCTGAGGAAACCGGCTTTGCCCTTGAGGAGCCTACAAGGTTGGGAGGAGGGGAATGACACCTAGTAAGGTATAAATAAAAATGAAATATAAGGCAATTGAGGGAAATCAGGAAAGGCTTCCTGGAGGTGGTGTTGGAGCTGAGACTTGAAAGGAGTGAGGCATTCTGTGAGGTAGAGATAAGGAGAGAGGGCCAAACCCAGGAAAAGAGATGGAATGTTCAATGTTGGGCATAGAGGGAAGGCCAAGATGGCTGGATGAGGGTAAGGGAAGCCTGAAAGGCAGACTGAGGCTAGATTGTGAAATACTCTAAAAGCTCAAGAAAGGAGTTGGTATTTGCTTCTAGAGGCAGTAGGGAGCCATTGGAGTCTATTGAGCGGAAGAGTGACCTGTACTTATGGGAAATTCCTTTGGCAGCTGTGTGAGCACAGCTTGAGGCAGGGAGCCCTACCGGGGACAGCTCCTGCAAAGGCATGTAGAGGAGAAAAGGAATATCGTGTATTGAGGAATAGCAATTAAACCGATTTGGCTGGAATGTAGACTATAAAAGGGCAGCTAGGTGGTGCAGTGGATAGAGTGCCAGGCCAGGAGTCAATAAGACTCATCTCCCCGAGTTCAAATCCGGCCTCAGACGCTCACTAGCCGTGTGACCCTGGGCAAGTCACTTCGCCCTGTTTGCCTCAGTTTCCTCATTTGTAAAATGGGCTGGAGAAGGAAATGGCCAACCACTCCAGGATCTTTGCCAAGAAAACCAAGAGTCTGATGACTCAACAACAAAGTAGAGTACAAAGTGTGGGGAAATAGGAAATTGGTATGCAGGACGCCAGGCTAGCACCAGCAGACTGTGGAGGGCTTCAAGCACCAGGTGGGGGCCCTGGAGCTTCTGGAGCAGGGCAGTCATGCGGTCAGACTCACCCTTCAGGAGTCCCAAGCCTCCAAGGGCACGGAGGCTGAGGCGGCCACAGCAGTCCGGGTTTAACCAGAATGGTTGACCATGGTGACAGGCCCACCATCTTCTCGGCTGAAGCTCTAGTCCCCTTTGACTATTTGCTTTCACACTGCGCCACCCCACCCCTTCACACGCTCTCCTGGATCCAGCCCCTTCCCTCCACTTCCCTTGGGCACGGCCTTGAGTCCTAGCTCAGCCTTTATTTTTAAACCTCCTGCCTGAATTATTGCCACAGCACCCCCCCCCCCAATTGATCTCTGTATTTCTAGTCTCTTTCCTTCTTTTTTTTTCTAAAGGTAATTGGGGTTAAGTGACTTGCCCAGGGTCACACAGCTAGTAAGTGTCAAGTGTTCCGTTTGACTGGGGCCGGATTTGAATTCAGGTCCTCCTGACTTCAGGGCTGGTGCTCTATCCACTGCGCCACCTAGCTGCCCCTCCAGTCTCTTTCTTCTCCAAGACTGAAGACAGCGACCATGTCTCCTCCACACAAGTTCCAAAAGAAATTCCCCAAGACCTAAGTCCAACCATGTTGCTCCTCTGCTCAGTAGACCCCAGTGGCCCCTGATTTTTAGCTCCCAAAATGCAAACATTTCCATTCAAAGCCCCCATAGCCCAGCTTCACCCTGTCTTTCTCCCGCCTTCCTTCTGCTTCCTTCTCGCTCTCTAGGTTTCAGCCTAATTGACCCTTGCAGACTCTCATTCTTATCCGGCCTTCTCTTGGGTCTGGGCAATTGGAGGAGTCATACCCACATGTCTCCTCTTCTCTATCTTTCCTTCAAGGCCCAGCTCAGCATCACCTCCTCCATGAGGGCCACTCTGACCCTCCCAATTGAAGGTGATCCCTCCCTACTCTCATCCTGGAGCGTTTGGTCGCCATCAGTCTCTGCTCCCATCACATTCTACCTTCTGACTTATTTACCTGTGGGTGTATCTCACCCCCCCCAAGACTGTATTGGGAGGGGGAGGATCTCCAGTCAGTGCCTCCGCGCATGGGGAGAGATCCATAGGTGGAAGGCAGCAGAGAGACAGGTTTTGTTTAAATGTCAAGAAAAGCTTCTCAACAGTTTTAGAAACTGTCCAAAACTAGAATGAGCAACTAGAATGTTGGTAGTGAGCTCCCTGTCAGTGGAGGTCTCAAAGCAGAGGCTGTATGTCTGATGGTCAAGTATGTTGTAGAAAAGATTCCTGTTCAGACACAGGTTGGGTTAGATGTCCCCCACCCCCACCCTGCGCCCACCATTGCTGTTTTGTCAACAGAGACTGACAAAACTGGAAAGAGAACTTTTAGAGACAATCGAGTTCTCTCATTTTACTGAGAGAAAGTAAGGCCCAGAGGGGGAAGGATGTCTCCACTGTCACTTGGGCGAGCTTCCTTGTCCTCCCCCATTGAATCAATGGCAGGGCTGAGGTTAGAAGGCATCTTCTGTGTCTCCCAAGCTCATGGACGTTCTTTCCTCCCTTCCTTGTCCCTTAGAACCCGTTCCACCTGCAGCTGGACTGGGCCAGCCCCATGGAGACGCTGGTGGACATGCTCCTCTCTGTGCTTCGGGTCCACGCCTGGAAGGACATCGCCCTGGTCCTGTGCCGCATCCGTGATCCCGGCAGCTTCTTGGACTTCTGGACCCAGCGCACGGGGCTGACCCCACGGATGACCCTGGAACTGAGCCGGCTGCCTGGAGCCCTGGCACGCCTCAAGGCACTGTCTGGGGAGCCTCCCCCTGTCACAGCTGCCGTCCTGTTTGGCTGTGATGCCAACCGTGCCCTCCAGGTGCTGGCTGCTGCCCCCCCTGGGCCCCGCTGGCTCCTGGGCACCCCCCTGGAGGCCACAGAACTGCCTACACAGGGCCTGCCCCCAGGAGTACTGGCCTTTGGTGGGGAGAGCCAGCCTGTCCTGGAGGACCTTACCCAGGATGCCGCCGGGCTGGTGGTGCAGGCACTGGGCAGGGCTGCCCATGCCCACCCTGACCAGGCCCTCTTCCCCTCAGTAGTCAGCTGTAACAGCCCCCGGCTGGCAAGGCCTGAGTCCTGGGGCCAGCGCCTGGCTGGGTGAGTATCCCTTGCTCCGCAAATGCCCAGTCAGGACCCAGGGTCATAGAAATGCAGCACATTGTATCACACACCTGGATTCACATCTCATCTTTGCTATTTACTAGCTGTGCGATGTTTGGGGAAATCACTTCACACCTCTCAGAGTTTCAGAATTTTCTTCTATAAAGAGAAGCATTCTGTGCCCAGGTCTTAGAGAGGTTGAGGCCCTGGTCAGACCCCACCTGGAGTATTGCATTCAATTTTTGGAGCCAAATCTCAGGAAGGATGTTGATAAATTGCAGCATGTCTATCATCTTGGGCAGTTGGGCACCATCATCTAGGCTGGCCCCCAGCGGGTGTCACAGGAAGCGCCATACTTGGTAACGATGCTGTGTGTAGACTATGGTGAGAGGGAGGATGTTGAGAGGTCTGCAAACCATCGCTGGCCGAAGCAGCTGTGAACGCTCTGCCTCCAAAAGAAAGATGGGTGGGCCGAGACGAAGAAAGGCCATCGTGGGGAACAGGCTTTGACCTCGATTTGCCCATTGGCCCTGGGGGGCAGAAATGGGAGCAGTGTGGGGGAGGGAGGCATTGCAAAGAGATGGAATTAGATTTGACTTGTAAGAAGAAACTCCCTAACACTGAGACCCTACCCCAAAGGGGAATAGGCGGCCTCTGGACATGGTGGGCTTCCCTCCCCCCAAGGTCTTCCAGCTGAGCCTGGACAAGCAGCTGTTGGGATCTTGTAAGGTTCTTCTTCAGATGTGGGTTAGACTACATGGGCTCAGAGAGTTCTCCCAGCTCCGAGACTCTACAAATCTGTGAAAATGGGGCAGCGGTGGGGTGGGCAGGGGAGATACGAGATGACCCCAAAGGTCTTCCCTCTAAATCTTATGAAACTTGTCCATGAAATTGTGAATCCTGGTTCAGTTGCCTACTTCAGTCAGAGGAGCCCTGGCTGTGGCACCAGGACCTGGGTTCGAAGCCTGCCTCGGATGCTAACCCCCTGGGGGATCCTGGCCAAGTCATTTCCCTTTAAGTGACTGGGCTTCGGTTTCCTCATCAATGGCCTCTGAGAGAGGTCCCTTCCCCTCTGGGATCTGTGGTCCTCTAGCTAAACCTGAGGGGACTGGCTGAAGGTCATGCAATTAGCGCAGTCTAAAGGTGAGACAGAAGCCCAGGTCTCCTAAATCGAGGTGATTCCATGCTGTTTCCACTACAACATTCCGCTTCATCGGACCAGTGGGGAATGGTGGCCGGGCAGAGACTAGAGCGGGCATCACGGCCCTAATCTCAGGCCCAGATCATAACTGCTCCTTTCCCCACTCCCCCCAGGTTCCTGGCCAATGCTTCCTTCCACGGTTGGACGGGCCACATGTGGGTGACGGGCACCTCCCAGGTCCGTGTCCAGCGCCACTTCCAGGTGTGGAGCCTCCTGCGGGACCCCCGAGGTGCCCCAGCCTGGGTGACGGTGGGCCACTGGCAGGACGGGCGGCTGGAGCCGGCGGAGGGTGCGGTGTGGCTAGGGGCAGGGGGACTTGGAGGGCGGGTGCCCCCCCCAGTCCCCACTGCTGGAGAATGAAGTCGGGCAGCAGAAGCTGCGGGTGGTGACCCTGGTGGAACACCCCTTTGTATTCACCCGGGAGGTGGATGAAGATGGGCACTGCCCCGCTGGCCAGCTGTGCCTGGACCCGGGCACCAACGACTCAGCCATACTGGGCGAGCTCTTCGCTGCGCTGGACGAGCCAGGCAACAGCTCGGTGCCCCATGATCTGCGCAAATGCTGCTACGGGTACTGCATTGACCTGCTCGAGCGGCTGGCAGAGGACTTACCCTTCTCCTTTGAGCTGTACATCGTGGGGGACGGCAAGTACGGTGCCTGGCGCGATGGGCGCTGGACCGGCCTGGTGGGAGACCTCCTTGCAGGCACCGCCCACATGGCCGTCACCAGCTTTAGCATCAACTCGGCGCGCAGCCAGGTCATTGACTTCACAAGCCCCTTCTTCTCCACCAGCCTGGGCATCCTGGTCCGCACTCAGGACACGGCCTCCCCCATCGGGGCGTTCATGTGGCCCTTGCACTGGACCATGTGGGTGGGGGTCTTTATGGCCCTGCACCTCACCGCGCTCTTCCTCACCCTCTACGAGTGGCGCAGCCCCTACGGCATGACGCCCCACGGGCGCAATCGCCTCAAGGTCTTCTCCTACTCCTCCGCCCTCAACCTCTGCTACGCCATCCTCTTCGGCCGCACCGTCTCCAGCAAGACGCCCAAGTGTCCCACGGGACGCTTCCTCATGAACCTCTGGGCCATCTTCGGCCTCCTCGTCCTCTCGAGCTACACGGCCAAGTTGGCGGCGGTCATGGTGGGAGAGAAGACCTTTGAGGAGCTGTCGGGAATCCATGACCCCAAGGTGACCCAGGGTAGGGGGGGAAGAAGGGGGAGTGGAGGGAGTGGGATGGCGCGTCACTGCTCTAGCATGAGGCTTCCCCAGCTCTGGGGGACGCTTAGGAGCTGCCTCTGACCCTGATGGAGCGTGACTCCTCCTTTCTCTCTAGGCTGTGACTGTAATTCGGAGGTCTAGGTGGCCCCTGGATGGGGCTGCATTCCGGATGGGGCAGGCCCCCACCCCCACCCCCTGGTCGTAGGGCCACGCCCCAGGTCTAGTTGTGCTCACAGAACAGCAGAGGTTGCTGGGGCCCTCTGAGGTACCGTGATCCGCCCCGGGCTTGAGGTACTAGGCTCATTTCGGATGTGGTGTCTGTCTGTGGAAGGGTCCCTGCTGCGTCCCCAGCTGTGGCTACAGAAGAAGGGACGGGGCTTTTAGGAGAAGCCCCTTCAGGTGCCTTACTCTCCGTACCCCTCCCAACCCTCCCCAGCTCCACCACCCCTCCCAAGGCTTTCGCTTTGGCACCGTGTGGGAGAGCAGCGCAGAGGCCTACATTAAGAAAAGCTTCCCGGAGATGGCCGAGTACATGAGGAGGCATAACGTGCCCACCACCCCCGATGGGGTCACCATGCTCACGTGAGGGCGGGGTGGGGGTGGGATGGGGTGGAGTAGGGATGGGGGCTGGGCCCACCCCGAGACCTGGGCTGGGCTAGGCTGAGCTGAGGTCCCTGCCCATGACTGGGCATCTCCTCCTGGCCCAGGACAGACCCCCCAAAGCTCAATGCCTTCATCATGGACAAGTCTTTGCTGGACTATGAGGTCTCTATTGATGCTGACTGCAAACTGCTGACTGTCGGAAAGCCATTTGCCATTGAAGGTAAGTGTCCTTCCTCCCCTCAGGAAAAGGGCAGGGTCATGGCGGGGAAGCCTGGCTCAGAAGAGAGCCTTGTGATGGGCAGCTCAGACCCTGCCCGTGGTGGGTGGTGGGTGGCATTAGGGGTCACTAATAGCAGTGGGGGCTGGGGCACGAAGGATCAAACCCTGGTGAAAGTTTCTGTGCCCCACGCTTCAATTCACCAGCCCCTATTATGAAAATCATAGAGTGTTAGAGCTGAGAAAAGCCTTAGGACACAGAAGGTCACAGCTGGGAGGGTCCTTAGAACACAGGATGTCAGAGCTGAGAGGCGCCTTAGAACACAGAAAGTCAGAGCTGGAAGAGGCCTTAGAACAGAGAATGTCAGGGCTGGGAGGGGCTTAGAACAGAGAATGTCAGGGCTGGGAGGGGCCTCAGAAAAGAAAGGGGCCTTAGAACACAGAATGTCAGAGCTGGGTGGGACCTGGGAACATGGAACACAGTTTATCAGAGCTGGTACAGACATTCAGGGCATATAGGAACTGAGGAGAGATTCCTGTGGGCTGAGGCAGTTAGGGGGCTTCCTGGAAAACATGGGACTTGGGCTTGTCTTTGAAAGACAGTGAAGATCTGGCTAGGCTGAAGGGTGGTAAGGAGAATCTCCCAGGCAGGAACTTTGGGCAAAGTTACGAGGCAGAAATCTGAAAAAGCACACTCAGGGCACAATACATGATCCACTTTAGGGGAAGAACGCGTTTGTAGAGCAGCTTGCGGGAAGGGTGGAGGGTGTTTGGAGACAGACCCTCGAAAAGCGGGCTGAAGAGTTTGGACCTCCTCTAGTGGGCAGTGGGAACCTGGGGCAGTTTGTAAACTAGGGCTGGGTGTAAACAGAGATGCACTCAGAGATGATTCTGGCCAACTGTTTAGGAGAGATTGGAAGAGGGACAGAGGGACATGGAGGTGAGGCAGGAACCTTGTACTATGGCCTAGTGAGAGGCTTAAGGCATCGGCTGTCTATGAAAAGTATAAGGCCTTGGGCTGTCTAGCTATCCCCCTTCCCCCTTAAGTCTTGAGCACCAGGAGGACCTGGGAAGTAAACATGGCCTAGGAATTTAAATCCCCTGCCTTAATGACATGAGGAAGAGTCCTGGGTGCTGTGTGCAGGCTACGGGATCGGGTTGCCTCGGAACTCACCACTCACCTCCAACCTGACCGAGTTCATCAGTCGCTACAAGTCGTCAGGATTCATCGATCTGCTGCATGACAAATGGTATAAAATGGTGCCCTGTGGCAAGAGGGTCATTGCTGTCACCGAGGTGAGCGAAAACTCCTGGGCGAGGTGAGCCCCAGTCTCCATCATCATCATCATCTTCTTCCTCCTCCTCCTTCTCCTCCATTCCACTACCACTAAATTCTTAACATTCTTCATCAGCTTTAGCTTAAAATACAGGAAGAATGAGCCCTTGTCCAAGGTTAGAATGCACCTGACAAAGGTTGGTTAAAAAAGAAAGCCTACTATTATACACAAAGCAGTGTTCCTAGCTGCTGGGGTGACAAAAACAAAAATGAAACAGACCCATCTGAACTCTGAATTCTGCTAGGTGGGCCTGCGGTCAGGAAGTACAAATCCAGCCTCAGACACTTACTAGCAGGGTAACCTTAAGCAAGGTACTTAACCTGTCTCAGACTCAGTTTCTAAATCTGTGAAATGGGGATGATAATAGCACCTGCCTCTCAGGGTTGTTGTGAGAGCACAAGGAAATATTTGTAAAGCCAAGCACGCTGCTTGTCATTCAGTTGTGTCTGACTCTACAAAAGTGCACAGGGTTTCCTTGGCAAAGAAAATGGAGTGGTTTACCGTTTCCTTCTTCAGTATGTCCCCATTTAACAGATGAAGAACTGAGGCAAATAGTTAAGTGACTTGCTCAGTGTCACACAGCTAATAAGTGCTCTGTTATTCACTGTACCAGCTAGCTGCCTGGCACATAGTAGGTGCTTAATAAATGCTTGTCTAAAAAAAAACCAAACCTGGAGAACAGTGTAAGAGGGCAGCCAGAATGGTGAGAGGCCTCAAGAACTCACCACAAATGGGTCAGTTGAAGGTGCTATGGTTAGCCTGGAGAAAGAAATGCTTGGTAGAGAGGGAGGGAAATATGGATAGTCATCATCATTTTGCCTTTCAATGCCTGGCATATAGTAAGCCCTTAATAAATACTTGTTGACTGACTTGGGGGGGTGTCTTTAGGTATTTAAAGGTATGGAGGAGGGGTTCGATGGTTTGACTCCCAGAGAGAACAAGGGAAGGGGCAAGAGGATAAAGGTACAGTTGCAGACATAGGCTTGATGTCAGGAAGAACTTGTTAGCATTAGAGCTGCCCCCTAAGTGGAATTGGGGGGGGGGAGTCCCAGGGGGTACTCAGGTTCCCCTCCCTTGAAGACAGAGGTAGATGACCCCATCAGGGAAGTCAGAGAGGGCATTCTGGCACAGGTTGGACCAGATTGGTTCTGAAGCCTTTCCTTCTTTTGAGATTCTCCCCTTCCTTACTCAATAACCACCCATTTCCTTAGGGTCTTAAAGCCCTTTCTGTAGTCACTCCGAGGTCATGGAAAAATTACTGCCCTCATTTTACGGAGGAGCCCAGAGAGGTTTTATAGAATGGCATAGCTCAAAGCCACCTCATCGAGCAATTCTCAGCCCATTCCCATTTTATTGATGAGAAAATGGAGAACTGGGATGGGGAAAGTTACCCCAAATTCCATGTTCCCTGGGGAGGCAGGGGGAGATGGGAAAATCATAGTGTAGGGAACCAAGGTGGCCCCCAATCACAGTTTTAGGGCTCCGGGGGGATCTCAGAGAGCATTCGGACCATCCTGCACCCGAGTGGGAATCCCCAGTATAGAAATTCATCATCCATCATGGCAGAGCATCCGATTTTTGGACAGCTCTCCTGTTGAATTATTGAGTTTTTCCTTGGACCGAGGTGAAACCTGCCCTTTTACTTGATCCCAACTGGATCTCGTTCTGCCTTCCAGAGCCAAGCAGGCTCTTCTCTCTTCCACATGACAGTCCTTCAAGGATCTTACAGCTGTCAGATCCCGAGGACTCCTCTTCCCCGTCTGCTTTTTTTCCAAGTCAGCAAGCATTTAGTAGGAGCCTGTTACGTGTCAGGCGCTGTGCTGAGCTGGGGATATGAAGAGAGGCAAACCCAGTGTCTACCCTTTGGAAGCTCACAGTAAACATCTGCAGTCTCTCCAGCAGTGCCTAGCACAGTGCTCTGTAAGTGGTTTAAAAACAGTGCCACTGTGTCCTGTTGAGTCACCGTCCTAGGCATCGTTTAGCCCTTTATCTTTCTGAATACTCGGTGCCTGGATGTGAACTCAATAATGCAGATGGTTTGACTAGGACAGAGCACAGAGGGAATGACCCCTCCCCAACCCCCACCACCATGTTATGGTTTGTCGTTGCTGCGCAGTAATTTTTTAGTCATGTATGACTGACCCCATTTGGTAATGATACTGGAGTGGTTTTCCATTTCCTTCTCCAGCTCATTTTACAGATGAGGAAACTGAGGCCAGAAGGGTTAACTGACTTGCCCAGGGTCACTCAGGAAGATGAGCCTTCCCGCCTCCAGGCCAGGTGCTCTATCTGCTGCACCATCTAGCTCTCCCCATCACATTCTGTTCTGGACACAGTGTTTTTCAAGGCAGCTTTAAGATCATGTTAGCTTTTTTTTTTTTTTTTTTGCCTAGCATATCACACTAAGGATTAAGAGAGCTTGCATTTCACTAAGATCTCCAGATCTTTTTCACACGAGCTGTTGTCGTCATACTTCCCCTACCCTGCAAATTGTGGTTATATTTTATTTTGAAATTAAGTGCTGGACTTTTCAAGGATGCTCTAGGGCATAGTTTAGTGGACAGTGTGCTATACTTGGAGTCAGGAAGACCTGAGTTCAAATCCAGCCTCAGATATTAGCTATATGATCCTGGGCAGGTCACTTAACCTGTATGCCTTTTACAGTTTCCCCAACTGTAAAATATAATAGCATCTAACTTCCTAGGGTTGTCGTGAGGATAAAATGAGATATTTGTAACGTACTTAGTATAGTTTGTGACAAACAGTAGGTGCTTAACAAATGCTGTTCCCTTCTCTATCAGGCTTACTAGGTTTGGTCTTTAGTTCTACATAGATCTTTCTAGATCTTGAATAATTTAATAGGCAGTACATTAGCTCCAACTCTGTCTCTCCTTCCACCGAAGGCGGTTAGAGGTGGAAAAGGACAGTGTATGTACCGATATGTGTATACGTATGTATATATACATATATGCATGTATGTGCTACACAAGGTATCTCAGAAGTCTTAGTTGTCAGATTTTACACGGATGAGTACGTGCGTGACATACCCGTCCCTCAGACTCTGCAGATGAGCATCTACCACTTCTCGGGGCTCTTTGTCCTACTCTGCCTGGGCCTCGGATGTGCCCTCCTCACCTCTTTTGGTGAACACATCTTCTACCGCCTGGTCCTACCTCGGATCCGCAAGCACGCCAAGCTACAGTACTGGCTGCACACGAGCCAGGTGAGTGGCCCTGGCTTCCTGGGGATGGAGATGGCAGGCACTCTGAACCACGTGTGGACTTAGGGGAGGGCCGGAGAGACCCACTCCAAACAGAATACAGGAGTCCTAACAGCACGCCCAGAATTCAAACCTGAGGATAAGGAGGGTCAACTCAAGGCTACAAATACTAGTCATTATAGCTCCCCTCCCACTTCTGTAGACTTTTGACCCCACAGTCCTGTGGAGACGGGAATTCCATGTGTTATCACGTCCATTTTACAGTAGAGAAAGATGTCCAACAGGAACTTGGGTAGCCTGATTCCAAGACTACTCTGTTGCACTCTCCCCTAGAGGACTCGCAGAAAACAAATCGATCCTTTTGTTCTAGTTCTAGTGACCCAAACACCGGGGTCAAGGGAAACTTTCTATCCTCAGAAATGCCAGGGGTAGCAGGGAAAGGGAAGGAATGCTGGCTCACTGCCCCCCATCCCTCTCTTTCCCATGGACCGGCAGAAAATCCATCGGGCTCTAAACACTGGCTTAGACCAGCAGAAGAACCAGAAGCCGGAGCCAAAGCCGGAGCCGAAGCCAGGGCCGGACCCAAGGTTTGCTGTTGGGAGGCCTGGACTGCCTCCCTACCAGGGGAGTCCCCAGTCTGAAGGGGGTACTTGGTGCCTGACCTCAGGGAGCCCCTAGTCTGAAGGGGAAGGAGGGCTTCTGGAGTTAGGCATTCGAGTTAGAGATTTTAAAGGCTGTGTGAAGATTCAACAGAGAGCTTAACAGAGGAGGAAACCATAGGTGACGGGCCATATTCCACAGTAGGGGCAGAGCAAACAGATGGCGTCTTTGCGGGGTAGTGACAATGGTTCCTCTCATTCCAGTTGCGATCCCCAGTGTGAGCAGAGCGGCAAGAACAGCCTTAGGACGACTGTGAAGGGCGAGCGGAGGGTCCGATTTCAGGAACCAGAGGTCAAGGGGCCTGACCTGCAGCTCATCAACGGGCGCCTGCCTCAGCAGCAGCTGGCAGTGCAGCCAGAAGGGATTCCACAGCCCCCTCCTCTGGCGGCCGTTGCTGCCGCCCCCACTACTCCCACTACTCCCACCACTCAGAGTGAGCTGAAGGCCCTGGAGCAGAGAATCGAGGGCATGCGGGACCAGCTACGGGCTGCCTTGCTCAGGAAGAGTGAGCTGGTGCTCTTGCTTGGGAGGGACCTGCCCCCCCACAGCCGGCTCCTGCTGCCCCCCCAGGAGGTCAGTGAAGGCAGGTAACCGTGCCTGACTGCCCACCAATCCCACAGCCTTCCCGTTACTCAGCACCGACGCTCTGGGGACGGGCCCTGGAGAAGCATATTGGAAGGCAGCAGGTGGGAACCTACCTAGCTCTGCCCAGTGGAGAGAGGTGGTGGCGGCACCCAAGCTCCTGTTTTGCTTTGCTGTTCTGGGCATTCCTGGCCGGCTTCCTGTCACCCTTTAGGAACATTCAATACAACAGCTGCTGCCCTCAGGCCCCTCCACAAAATGGAGACCACTTCTAAGTCAGGATGTGCCCATCCTTTGGTGTCAGCTGGCCCAGGGACAGGCTAATTTTGGCCAAGGCAGAAACCGTGTGCAGGTCATCCCGAGACCACCCAGCACAGGCTGAGGGTACTGGCCTCTTGAAGCAACATCCCTTTGCATGTCTATGAGCTCCACATTAATTAGGAAGCACGGATCCCAACCTCTCCCTCAACTGTACCACGGTGTCGGCTCCTCGGCCCGAATGGCCCCAGCAGTTTCTCCGTCCGAGGGCCTCTACATTCCATAATCCTGTAGTTACAGCTGGCAAAGAATTTAATCATTAAAGAATATATTTTAAACACCACAAATAGGAGCCTGGAGAGAAATACAGATGTTAGTCTTTCACTTTCCTGTGGGCCTGGCGCAGAATCAGGCCAGATGTAGGCTGCGACAAACTGCCAAGGACGAGTAAATGTAGGGAATAACCCAAAACATGCCCCACCAGAGAGAGGGCACCAGTGAAGGGTTACCACCTGCCAGCTCCAGTGCTGCACTGAGGAAGGCCTCTCATCTACTGGAAAGACAGATGAGAACTGTGGGATGAGAAGTGGGGGGAGGACCCGTGGCAATGAAATCATGACTCTATCCCAAGTATTGAAGAACCCCAGGCCCTTTTAACTCCTCCCGGGGAAAGTGCACCGTTCTGGCTTCAATGAAAGAAGTGGGGCGGAAGTCAATATAGAGAGAGCAACTGTTAGATAGACTATTTATTATATATACAAACACAATTTTTGTAAATTACAATTAAATAGAATGGAATGAATTTTTTATTCTTCATTCCTCACCAAGTGATTTGGTTGATTTACTCAGCCTCCGGGCTCATCTGCCAAAGCTCTCGCCCAATGGCCCAGACACAGCAAGTCAGATTTCCGAGTCTGCTCATGGCAGCAAAAGGAGGGTTTGCGCAAGGGATTGTCCTCCCACTCCCCATAATGTTTCATTCCTTTTGAGTGGTAGGGGCTAGGACCCAGAAACCGTTTAAATCCATTTCCTGAGCCAGGGGACCATCAGCTTTCCCACTGAATTCTCACTGTTCCCGGGGCATAATACCTACTCGTACAATTTCCCCTATAAATGGAACATTTCACCAGGTGCAGCTTTGTAACCAGGTACAGGGCGGGGAACAGCATATGTGGGGATACCTAAAGTCAAAAATCCTGCCTCTAATGAACAAGATTCCTTATGGGGGTCATTCAGTGGCTTCACGTGGTGCTCAGTTCTACACATCTGGGGACTGCCTTCTCCCCTTCCCTCATACTAGAGTTCTGGGGGGGGGGCAGGTGTGTGTGTGTGTGTGTGTGTGTGGAGGGGGAGGGAGAGGGAGAGGGAGAGGGAGAGGGAGAGGGAGAGCGTGTAGAAGGAGCAGTCATTTCCCTCAACTGTCCACTTGCGGCTGCCTGGAAGTAACTCCTCTACATAGGAGCCCCTGAGTCAGTGAGCACAGCAGGTACTCCCCAGCCAACCAAGAGATGACCCGTGGGGACCACGCTGCTTCCCGCTGGGCAGAATCCCAGGCTCACACTGCATCCGCCACTACCTCCACAGGACTCTCCCAGACCTTCTCCTTAAGAGGCGGTGGGAAGTCAAGGCTCTGGCGAGAAGGAGGCGGGGGAGTAAGCCATACTGCAGGCCCAAGAAAAGACACTGAGCTCCAAGCACCAGGCAGAAACCCCTGTGGAGGGATGGAGAGGGAAGAGAAGAACCCAGTAGGCTTTCATGCTGCAGGCCTCACTCCTACTCTCTCTTCTGTGGCCCTGCATGTCTGTGCCGGCTGAAGGCTGGGTTTCACCAGCTGTGGGCCATTTGCTCCATCCTTCTGCCCACCACGTACATTTCACCCCCAAGCCAAACCAACCCTCCACTAACACCGTCGCTGCTTGCCTGGGGTCGGTTCTCTTCATCTGGGGCTTTAGAAGGAGGCCAACCTGGAGTGGGAGGGATAAAAGAGAGGCTGCCAAAAGTGCTCCTCTCCACGGAGCAGTGCGACTCCACCTCCCTCCTGACACCCTGACTGCTCTCTACTAGGCCAGTGAACATGCTAATCAGACCCCTGGGATCCTGCCCCACACAGGCTTTGGCTCTGCAACACCTGAGCTTCACGAGGTTCTACCAGAGCAGCTGCTTACTGCCTTCTCCAAATCCCACACCACAGCCCTAGTTCTTGCTGCCTCGGAGGACTGAGAATACAGTGAGTACTTGGTGGTGGACAGAACCCCATTCAACCATCCAGTTCTCCTTTAGTCAAAGGGGAAAAAAAGGGTTCTCTCGTGGAAAAAGGTCCTCATGCCTCAGGAGGAGAGAAGAGTCAAAATCACCAGAAATTAGGACATGTCTGCACAAAGCAAGGAGATGGGGAGATTCCATCCTGGGCTCCAACAAGGCCTAGCATCCAGAAGGGGAGGCAGGAGCACATCTCCCAGACAAGGGGAGGAGGAATAGTTTGAAGGGGAAAAAGAAACCCCAGGACAGTGGTGCAGGGAAGCCCACAGGTGTAGGCCAGGAGTTGGGCAAGGAAACCAGCTGCTCTGGAGACTGCTCAGATCAGGTTACACATCTTCCCATGGAGCCCAGGGGGACACAGAGCTGGGACCAACTGCGCCTGGTGAGTTAAGGCCGTGCCTCTGGAAGGCTGCTTTCCCTGAAGCTGCCTTCACTCAGTGGGTTTAAAAATAATTTTAAAAATTCATCTGAATCTGGTTGGGGAAGAAAAAGAGCCAGTGTCTGACAGGAACAGAGAGATTCCCTCCACCCTATCAAGGATCAGCAAAAGTGCTTCACGAGGGGCTCCTAAACTCTGCTTCTGAAAGGACGGCTGGTGGGGCACCATTGTCTTTGGAGCAGGGATGACTCTCCTGTGTGGCCTGAAGATCTGGGGTCATACACTTGTCTGAGGCGGGGTCTTGGGCAAGGGCCTTGGAGACGCTGCTCTCGGAAACACCGACAATATCCTGGCCACCAAGTGAGAGTGAACTGGCCCTAGTCTGATCCACAAGGGAAGCAGCTGGCTCAGGGATGCCAGTGGTGTGGGCTGGAAGGGAGGCAGGAGGCTCCGGGGTTGTACCTTCTGCCTCTGGGGTGACTAGTGTTGCTGATGTCACTTCAATGGTGATGGAGCTAGTGGTGGCCCCAGGGCTCTCACTAACTCGGATCTGGGCAACTAGGCCAGGGGAGGTGGTAGCAGCTGGGACATTGGGGGGACTTCCATTGGCCAGGGCTCCATGTCCTGCTCTCTGCTCTAGGAGGGAGGCACTCAGATCAGAGAGAAATGAAGGGTCCGTGAAAATAGTGGCTGTCTCAGCCATCCAGTTCAGTTCACCCCCTACTGAGGCAGAGGTGGGGCCAGGCCCCTCCCCAGGGGCTGACTGGCTGCCGCTCCCATTGTGTAGAGAGGGTCTGGGGCTCCCAGGGGCCACAGCTGCGGCCGCAGTGTTATTGTTGAGATTGTCCTGCAGGGCCGTTTGGGTGCCCTGGCCAATCTGCTGGTTCTGCAACAACATCTCCTGGATGCGGATCTGCTGGAGGATGGCCGGCAACTCAAAATGATGAAAAAAGTAGATCATGGAATGCTGTAAAGAAACAGAGGAGCAAGATAATCAGACTCATCCCCCAAAATGACATCATGTGGGGCTGTCATTGGACTTGGAGACAAGGAAATGAAGACGGGAAATTCTGGCCCACAAGTCTCCCCTTGAGTCCACAAGGAGCACAGAACAAGCACTGCGTGACGAGCAAGCCCAGCAGAGGCTCGTGGGGGCTGCCTTCAAAAGCCGTGAACTCCCCCTTCAGAAGAAGTCTTCAAATATAGACAGCCAGCCAGGCACTGTGCAGCGCTTTACAATCATTATCTCCCAACAATGGGAGATCCCCGTGTTACAGATGAGAAAGCTGAGGAAGGCAGCAGCCTCACAGCTAGGCAGTGCCTGGGGCAGAGACCTGAGCTCAGGCCTTGCTGGCCCCAGACCCAGTGCTCTGTGCGGGGCGGCACCACCATGAAGACTCAGAGAAGTGCAAAGAGTTTGCCAGAGTCACAGAGCAAGCCCCAGGGCCACAATGAGCCTCTCCCGGGGCCAAGTAATGCCAAACCCAGTGGGACTCCTTCAGAAGTCCCAATGCTCCACATCAACTGCTGTGCCATGAGATTCAGGGCTCCCTTTCCTCCTGTACAGGCGAGCTTTCTGGTCCCTTCCTTTCCCCTTTCTAGAGGATCATTCAACTCTTCCTGAAGTGATGGCCCTAGGTCTAAGAGCGGGGGTGGGCACCCTAAAAAAAGCAGTGCCTCTGGTGCCTAGCACATGGTCTCAGGCCCCCCTTTCCTCCCCTTCCCAGCCATTCTCTACACCCTGTATTTGCACACTGTCCAAATGTGATCTGGCCCAATCTCTCACGAGTCCAAAATTCCTAGGTGGAAGAAACAATGATCATTACTGATGAGTCCAGCCCCCTCATCTATAGAAGGAAAAACTGAGGGCAGGTGAGGTAACCTAAAATGACTTTATCTCAGGTCACAGAGCAGAGATCTGAATCCAGGTCCTTGACTCCAAATCCAGTATCCTCTTCTATAATCACAGACTGCCTTTCAGAGGCCAAGCACAGAGGGAGGAGAGGGGCTGGGCCAGTGGGAGGGCTTGCCTAGTCCTCACCCTCTGTGGTCATGTTTCTTTATCCCCTGCCCAAGTTACCTGGATGAAGAGCCAAGAAGTGACCAGGGCCAAACTGCTGTACTGGCCATTGAATCGGTAGTGATAGGCATAAAAGGCAAAGTGGTACAAATAGAAGAACCTGAAACCAGACAGAGAAAGGACAAGTGAGGGCCTGCCTGTGGCTCCCGGACAAGTGAAGTCACTCTTTTGCGGCGGGTGCTCTGGGTCAAGAGGTGCTCTTCACATCCATTCTCTCAACAAACGGGTCAGAGAAGTTAGAAGAATAGAGTCCCACATCCCCAGCTATCTTTAAGTAGTGCCCAGGATGCCCGGCTTGGGGCCCAGCACTCTGTCCATTATGCCCTGCAAGGAGCAGGACGCAGCAAAGGGATCGAGGTCTAGGGCCTCTTCCTCAGCCTTGCTTAGCCTGAAGCCCATGTTCTTCAGGACGGGGGATTTTCCCCACATAGGTGTGCCTGGTCCTGTGGCCAGTGCAGGGCACCTACCTCAGCCAGTGCCTCTTACTGGTGTTGGTGTGGCAGCAGATGGCATCATACTGGTCAGCCAGCCACACAATGAGGATGATATAGAACGCCGTTGTGGTGTCATTGAAGAATTCAGACATGATGGCTTCCATACCTGGCAGGAGCAAGTAGGAACAGGTGTGTCTAGAAAGCACTCTGAGCTCCCCGAGTACCTCCGAAGATGGACCATTCGGTCAGCACCCCTCAATGGGCACACTCCTAGCCCTCCTCTGCTTTAGGAAATGATTTCATGAGTGTCAGTAGACTCTTTTTCCTCACGAGAATAGCTCAGGTCCCTGGGATTCAATTATTCTCCTCACTACTTTGAGTTCTACACCAAGGCCAACCAAAAATAGCTTCCTTTAAGCTCTGGCACTTGGAGAGACGAGCTCTGAAGAACATGAGCACTTGCTAAGACTCCGGAGGATTACAGACATCCTCAATCTATAGTTTCAAATTCCAAGGCCAAGGGCGTAAAACCTGGGGTTATGCCGAACTCTGCTAACCAACCGGAGCAGCTGTAGTGTAGACTTCGGTGAGGTGGGATAGGACAGGATGTGGGGGCAGGCAGGAGAAGTTACAGCTATCCCATCTGCAAGGTAAGGGGCTGCCACACTTACCAACAAGAGCCAAAATCACCGTGAGCAACGGTGCAGCAGGGAAGGCAATTGTCATGTTCATTTCCAACATCTGTAGGAGGTCCACTGCAAGATGAGAAGGGTAGGAAAAACCCCTAACTTAGCAGAGAGTTTGGAAGCCTCTTGTCAGGCCAGACAAGGCCCGACTGCAAGAAGTGCTGAACTCTTAGATCAGAGGGGAGAAATGGACTGAGTGGCAAGAGCATGGAGCTGGCTGAAGACAGCTTACAAGCCATGCGCTGGTTTGCTAGGGGTTAAGAAACTTCTTGGAAAATCTAGCCAATGATGGCTAGTAGGACCAGCAAGACCAGCTCTACCACTCTGGGCCTACTGGGTGTGGTATCCAATGGGCCTCACTAAAAGGACTTCTTTCACATAACCAAGAAGTGCTTAGGATTACCACCTCGAACATTTAAGTGTTTAATAAACGTCCGTAGAGTCGAACTTACCAATGAAGACGAAAATCTGGTGGTGCGAATACCGCAGGAGCATTGAGACCGACAGAGTCTGCAATCACAAGACAGGAGATGTTAGGCTGTTGACCACTCTACCAATGGGCACAGTTGCATTAGGGAGAATAGGCAGACCTGGGCCCTAGCAGGAGGCAATTAAGAACTGATTCACAGGAAGCCTTTTTGGTTTTCAAGGTGCTTTATGTGCATTATCATTTTTGAGTTTAATAGTAACCCCAACGGAGCAACTATATTATTGTTTCCATTTCACAGGTTAGTGAATTGAGGCTCAAAGAGGACAAGAGCCTCAACTATGGTCAGAGTCAGAACCAGGATTTAAAACCAGGTTTTGCTCAACTCCAAGCACAGGGTTCTTTCTACTACCATAAGGTTTCTTAAACTTTTTGTGTCCTGGACACCACTGACAGTCAGTCTGGTAAAAGCCCATAGAGCCCTTCTCAAAATAATGCTTAATTTTAATACACATAAAATATGGAGAATTACAAAGGAAACAAATTCTACTGAAATATACAGTAATCAATTTTTTTTCAAAAGTTCACAGATCCTACTCAGATGCTGCCCTCTCCAAATGTGGAAAGGTAGAGGGCAGCTAGGTGGCGCAGTGGATCTAAGAGCATCAGCCTTGAAATCAGGAGGACCTGAGTTCAAATCTGGCCTCAGACTGAACACCTGACACTAGCTGTGTGACCCTGGGCAAGTCACGTAACCCCAATTGCCTAAAAAACAAACAAACAAAAAAAAAAACCCAACAAATGTGGAAAGGTAGTCAATTATGATGGATGCTTGCACTTTTGTGATCCATACAGACTTCAATTAATTAACCTAGAAGCCTTGCCTTATTGTGGAACTGTATGGAAATAAAAGCATGAATCCCCCACTGGGGAGGTAGAATAGTGGTGAAACAGTTCAACAGGTCTATTAGAAAAATGCCAGCTTCATAGTTAAGACAGGCAACTCCCCATGGGGCACCAATGATGCATGCACCTGGAGAGCTCAAGCAGTCTGTAGGATCCAGTACTTTACTCTCCACCCTTCCTCCTACAGGGAGGTAACTAGAGTACAGTTAAGTGGGGGACAAAACCTCTTTCTGAAAAGATCATGAGGCACTCTGTTGGTAGATCAGAAGCTTCTACTAGAAATAGGTAAATACAACATAAATGAAAAGATCACTAGAAGGAAACAACTCTGAGAAACTGAAAAAGCAGTAATGATCTCAGAGAACCTAATGACACACACAGCCCCCTTCTTTTGGAAGAGTCGAGGAACGAAAGGCAGAATGTAACTGTTTTGTTACAAGGGAAGTTCAATTATGGAAGATGGAAGTGGGCAGGTTATGTCCAGAAATGGCAGTAATATAAAAAGAAATGTGGGCCCAAGACTCCACAAAGTGAGACCAAACTGTTGGAATTTGACATTTTGTTGTTGAAAAAGGGGCTCCCTAAATTTTTCTTGGTCAAAGCCTAAATTAGAGGCTGACAGTTAAAATCTTTAAGGTCTAAAAAGTAAGACAATTCAGCACTTAGCAGTTTTTAAATAAAATTTGGTAGCATGGTGAGAGGAGAGTCGTATTGGTCTTCTCCACTAGAATGTAAGCTCCTTGAGGACAGGAACGGTCTTGCTTGCTTGCATTTGTATGCCCACTGCCAGGCACACAGTCAGCACTTAAGAAACGCTTTTCCATTCATTCATCCGGAATCCCAGTTTTGCCATGTAAGGGATAATTCTGAGCAAGTCATTTAATTTCTCTAGGGTTCAGAAGGGGTTGAACTAGGCAGTGAGCCTTTGGAGCTCTAAGTTTTCATAATCAAAATCAGTGATGAGCACCACAGTCTTCTAATATTCAGACTGGGCGTGCCTATACTATATGTAAACTCTTTTATGCCCACTGCCCTGGGTTTTATTATCTCTCAGCTCCTGATCCTTCACCTTCACTGCCAGAGGGATTTACTAGTCCCAGGATTTCAGAGCTAGAAGAGGTTTTGTTTTTTTGTTTTTTTTTTGTTTTTTGCGAGGCAATTAGAGTTAAATGACTTGCCCAGAGTCACTCAGCTTAGTGAGTGTTATGTGTCTGAGGCCAGATTTGAACTCAGGTCCTCCTGACTCCAGGGCCAGTGTTCTATCCACTGTACCACCTAGCTGCCCCAAGAAGAGTTCTTAGCTCACCTACATCAACCAATCCATTTTACGGGGGAGTACAGGGACTCAGACCCAGTACCAGATACAGAGTCAGAACTAAAGTTCTGGCCTGGCCAGTTAGAAAAATCACACAAATTCAGAGGTGGAAACCACCTAAAACCACCTTTAGTTCAACCCCTAGCTGACCAAGAATCTCCACTCTCAGGTCTCCAACAAGCAGTCAGCGGAGGCCTGCTTGAAGATGTCTTACATAAGTAACTCACTACCTAGGAAACCCACCCAGTTCATTTCTGAACAGCTATAGGAGTGATGCTTTCCTTATAATGAGACAAGCTCTGCCTCTCTCCAGATCACTAGCTATGCCTTGGGCTCTGCACCTTTATCATCCATTTGTGCCTCTAAATAACCTTGGAGGCCCTTTCTAGTCCTTGCTCAATGTCCCCTGCCTAGTACAGGGCTTTCTAGTCTTCCTTAAATTCCTTGCAGAGACCAGGGTCTTTGGCCCAAGCCTCCAATGGACCACTGCAAGCCTACAGCAGCTGGAGGTCTGGGTTTGTGAAGAGTTAATGAGCCATATAGTTTTTCTCACACTTACAAATATGACCATAATGACAAAGGCAGCCAGGTAGGAAGTCCTTGCCATCCACATGCTGACAAAGCGATAATGCTCCCCAGATACAACATTGCGCAGGAAACCTATGGAAAATGAGATGAGTAAGGAGCTGGACCTTCTTAAAAACTCAGGCTCTTTGGCTCTAAGCACTAGGACATGTCCAGTATACCAAAACCAGGGCCAATGCCAGAAACAGAAGACACCTCATAGCACAACTTTTTGAGGCAGGTAGTGCAAATATGATTCCCATTGTACAGATAAATAAGCTGAAGCTTATTTGCTCAAAATCACAGACCTGAGGACAAAGCCCACCCCTCCTCCATGGCCCCCAAACCAGAGATCTTCCCACCAAACTACATTGCTGTTCTTGGGCTACAGCACACATGCATGCCTGTACATGTGCGGGTGCCAGCACACGCACACCCACACTCACACCCCTGCAGAAGACCACGCCCATGAGCTCTGTCTGCCCTCCCGCTCCCTGGCTGAGGACTGACCCTTGTTCTCTTCATTTTCCGCCAGGGCTTTCACGCTGGACATCAAAACATCATCATAACCCAAGAATTCGTCCAGGAGCAAACGGCTAAATCGGTCTCCAAAGCACTGATCCCTCGTAGGGTCTAAATTAGTGGAAGAGGAGAATTACATCTGTGAGTTGAAAATCCAGGTCAGTTTGGAGCAAATGTTCCCCTGGCAACCCCCAAAAGGAGAACATCAGACCTGCCTCTACAAATGCTACCTCCCACTGCCTGTTTCCATTGTGCTTTGCACATACACCGTGGCGCCCCCGCCCCCCTTCACCTCCCAATTTCAAGGGAGGCAGAGGTCATGACCCATATTCCACAGATAAGGAAACACCCTCTGAGACAGGAAGTGACTTAAGGTCACACCAAGCTACTCAGTGGCATATTGAGTCGAGAATGTCCCCACTCCTGGGCTGTTCGCTTTTCACACTCCCTAAATCCCAAACCCAGCTCCTATTTGTACAGGGCTTTACAGAGATCATCTCATTTGAATTTTATTAAAACCCTGTGAGGTGATACCTAAGGCCTCTGTCATTAAGAAAACGAATGAGGCTTAGAGAGGTTCAAAGACTTGTTCAAGGCCCTCTGGCAGTCGAGGGAAGGAGTCAGAACCTAAACCAGGCCTTCTGCCTGGGCCTAGGGCTTCCTAGAACACAAGCCCTCCTTGGTGCTCTTCTGGACACTGTGCCCTGCCTTTTCCTGAAGCTACGGCTATTCCAAAGTGCCAGGCCACTGAAGAAAAACAAGCTGTCCCATCCTGATCGCCCCCAGGAACACACAGGAAAGTGGAGAGAACAATGGTTTGAGAGCCAGAAGAGCTGGGAACACGTCCTACCTCTGCCACAAAGTTGCTGGGTACCTGGGGGAGTCACTTCTCCCTCTCCTCCTCAGCTGGCTGCTTCTAAAATAAAAGGCTCCGACCAGCTAGTCTCTAAAGTTCTTTCAGCTCTGACAACCTACAAGCCTATAAAGAGGTGTATGTGGGGTTTTGTTGTTGTTGTTTTTTTTTTTTTTAGGGGGAGGAGGAATGAGAGCTAAGATAAGGGAGATCACTCATGTGACTCGGGGTGACATTATAACCTAGTAATTCATCCAGTAGTCAATGACTAAGGGAATAATTTCTACAGGAGGTGGAAGCCTGTGAGAAAGATAAATATTCTGAAAGGCTGAGATGAAGAGTGTGTGTACATTATAGGGAATGCTCTGTGCAAATACAAAGAGGGGGGAAAGGAAATATTCAGTTTTGGAAACAGGCAGTACTCCAGTTAGGCTGGAGCATGGAACGGGAAGGGAAATAATACGAACTAAGGCTAGAAAGGAAGGCTGGAGGTATATCCAGGTATAAGCCAAGCTACGGGACAGAGGGGGAAAAGTGGAGAGAAGGGAAAGAGGGCGAGAGATTCGGAAATGGGGAGACGGGGGTTGGGGGAGAGGAGAAGAGAGAAACTACGATTTTAAGGCTGGTGGTGTCCACAATAGAAGTAGGGAAGTTTAGAGAGACAAGCTTAGGAAAGGAAGATAAGGAGTTTGGTTTTGGATATGCTGAATTTGAAATGCCCATAGTACATTTAGTTGGAAATCTAGGCCCAGTGTGCCGGAGAGAGTCAGGCAGGATGTACAGATGTAGATAGCACCTCTCTGGAAATGGAGTAATTTGCATAGAAAATTTAACATAGAGGAGTAGATGAGGTCACTGAGACAGTGTAAACACAAAGGAAAGGAGGCCTGGGTTCTAACCACACAAAAGTGGAAGCTGAGTGCTCTGAGGAAAAGTCAGGCAGTAGGCATAAGAAAAAAAGTGTCATGGAAGTCAAGGCAGCAGAGAATATCCGAGAAAAGGGGTTGGCCAACAGTCCTAATAGCTGCAGAGGTCAAGAGGTATGATGACCAAGAAAGGCCATCAGATTTTGTAGATAAGATGTAAAAACAAGATATTAAAAAAAAAAAGAAAGGAGTAGGGAACTCAGGAGACTGAGGAGTGAAAAGAAGATGATATAATCACATAAGGTGGAGAGTTTTTAAAGATGAAGTTAGCAGAGGGCAAGGGGTAGGGGGGAAAGGGTGGTAAGTGGAAGCAAAATGGTGGAATAGCAGCAAGAAATACAGTAAGCACCCCCCAAAACTCCTCCAAATGGATCTGGAAAACACACCAGACTGAATGCTGATGGGAAAATCAGAAAGGAGTCAACGTGAGTCACGTGTCCAGTCAAGGCTGTTACAGAGAGGGAGACAGAGAGAGAGTCTGTGGACACTAAGGATAGCTCCTGGCCACAATCAGACATGCAGAGCAGTCTAGCCCAGGGAGAGACTGTGCACCAGAGCAAGAGGAGTTCTCAGACACACACAGGGCCCCTCAACTTCATGGGTGTTAACTGGCAGCTTTGTTACTCACTACCCAGTTCTGGGTAACAGATTCAGGGGGGCTCTAAGAAGGAGACCTGCATGCTGGGTAGGGGTAAAACAACATTCTGGTATAAGGAGACCTATGCTATGTGTCAAGAGGATCAAGTCCAGAAGCAAGCAGCAGCAGCGGTGTAGCTTAGACCCCACCAGAAGCACAGTGGGATCTCAGCTCTAACTTCAAGCCCAACTGAAGCCTGCAAAGGAATAACCATGGCAAGAATCGTAGCCCAATTCTATCACTGTACTTCCAGTGGGCTGACTGTAGCAGACCCAAACCCAGAGCGAGAACTAGCAGACTTCAGACTACAGTGGGCAGCAATTAGACTTTTCCTAGATCAGTTCACTTTGGGAGCACTGAAGTCTTACAGGTACACAGCCTGAGCTGTCCCCGAGATCCTGAGGGAATATAATAATACTCAATACCTCAAGAAAGCAGGAGCAGGACCAGCCCAAACCTTCCCTCCACAAGTATACAGAGCTGAGTCCTAACAAGTTTAAGGTCAGGAAGTCGTCTGGAAGAATGAACAAATTAAAAAAAACCTGTATGAACTGATACAGAGTGAAGTGAACAGAAACAAGAGAACAATTTATACAATGACAATAAAATTGTAAAGACAGAGACAACCTTGAAAGACTTAGGGACTCTGATCAGAGGAATCACTAACCAAATTTCAGAGAACTATTGATGAAACATATTTTCCCACCTTCTGACAGAGGTGAAGACTCAGAATGCAGAATGAGACATATATGTACTGTGTGTGTGTGTGTGTGTGTGTGTGTGTGTGTGTATATACATACAAGTCTTTCATCATCTGTAAACCTCAGTTTCCTCATCTGTTAAGAGGAGGAAATAATCCTTGCAATGCCTGCCTCCCAAGGTTATTGTAAGGAAGGAATTTTGAACCCTTATAGAGCTAAGCTATTTCCAAAAAATCTAGTTCAATACAGCTTTCTGCTCTGTGTGTTATTTTAGAACCTAAGCTATATCTGCCAAGTGGTCTAGGAAGTTACTGCACAAAGCAGATGTTACAGAACCTTTTTTCATGAAGAGGCAGAATCAGTCTCCAAGCAGCCAACTATCTAGTCCAACAGAGATCTGAACAAGGATCTCCCTAAAAACATGCCTGACAAGTGGTCATCCAGCCTTTGCTTCACCTTCAAGACAGGAGGAACCCACCATCTCCTCAGGCAGACCACTCCACTCTTGGACAGCTCTAACTGTCAAGAAGTCTTTCCTCTTATCAAATGTAAACTTGTCTCTTTGAAACTCCACCCAGCCACTGCTCCTAGTTCTAGTTTTGTGGAGAGAGAGCTCAGGTAAGCAGGGATATGGTTTGAGCAGACAGGGAAAAGTCTGAGCAGCCTTTAGTGATGCTAACTTTTGTTTGGTCCTTTAGCATGGCCATTTAATCATCTCTGCTATAGTTACAATCCTTTTATTCTTCCCTGAAAAACCCTCTCAAGCTCTCAGCAGTGGCTCTTACAAATCTTCCCCTAAAGTCCCTGGCCATCCTCATCCTTGAAATATCGGAAGATAGCTACAGTATACATCCTAACACAGACTATGACACTATCGCTTCTTGACTGCTATCACAGTGCTGACTCAAATTGAGGATGCAATCCATTTAAAATCCTCAGTTCTTCAGATGTGCTAACCGCCCTCCCCATCCACACTCATCTTGTATTTGGGTTTTTTTTCTTGTGTGTTTTTTTTAGTGAGGCAATCAGGGTTAAGTGACTTGCCCAAGGTCACACAACTAGTATGTGTCAAGTGTTTGGTCTGAGGCCGGATTTGAACTCAGGTCCTCCTGACTTCAGGGCTGGTGCTCTATCCACTGCACCACCTAGCTGCCCCTCATCTTGTATTTGTTAAGCTGAATTTCTGAAGTTCATTTTTTATCCCAAACGTAAAACCTCATATTTTTCCTTATTAAATTTCATCTTATTAGATTTGGCCCAATATTTTAACTTATCAGGGTCTTTTTGAATCCCAACTCAACTCTGTTATTTGGTGTTAGCTATCTCTCCCCTGTTTTTTGTTATCTGGTAATTTTCTATCTGCATCTTTAGCCAAACCACTGATCAATATGTCAGCACAATATGTATAACCCATATCAAATTGCTTGCCTTCTCAAGGGGGGGGGGGAGAAGGAGAGAGGGTAAGAATTTGAAATTCATCATTTTTAAAAAATCAATGTTAAAAATTGTTTTTACATGTAATTGGGGAAAAATAAAACATTAAATTAAAAAAAAAAATTCTCAAAAAATATGTCAGTACAGGGCCCGGAAGAACTCTTTGGAGCACTCCACTAGAGAACTTCCAAACAGACACTGAATAATCAACGATTACATTTCAAGGCTGGCCACTCACACCAGCTTTGAATCCAACTATAACTCTATCACTATCTACTGCACATTTCTTCATCTTTTACAGAAAAAAAGCACAAGGAGCTTTATCAGATATTTTGTTAAAAAATCTGGGAATACTCTAGCTATAGAGTTCTTCTGATATCCTAGCTGAATAAGAAAGTGAGGTTAACTATCAATCAAAAAGGGGCAGCTAAATGGCTCAGTGGATAGAGAGCAGGGCCTGGACTCAGGAAGATTTTAGTTCAAATCCAGCCTCAAACATTACTGGTTGTGTGACCCCGGGCAAGTCATTTAACCTCTATTTGCCTTAATCCACTGAAAGAAGGAAATGGCAAACTACTCCAATAACTTTGCCAAGAAAACCTCATGGACAGCATTGGCATGCTGTGGTCCCCAGGGTCACAAAGAATCGGATACGACTGAACAACAGTAGCAGCATCAATAAGCATTCTTGACTTGTTCACTATGTGCCAGTCACTATGCCAGATGCTGGGAATACAAAGACAATGTGAAACAGCCCCTGCCCTCAAGGAGTTTACATTCTAACAGAGGAGACAACATGGACATACAAGGTAACCCAAAAGTCTTAGTGCAGTTTCAAGTATTTGTAATAACACAAATCGTCATGACTGTTCTTGATTAACCCAAGCTGGCTTGCTGCTGTGTCATGTCTGACTCCTCAAAACCTCGTTTTTTGGGTTTTCTTGGCAAAGATACTGGGGTGGTTTGATATTTCCTTCTCCAGCTCATTTGACAGACGAGGAAACTGAGGCAAACAAGATTAAGTGACTTGCCCAGGGCCACACAATCATCTAGTCCGACTGTTATCCGTTGTCCTCTCCAAGTTGTCCCCCATACTCTGCCTGAAGGCCTCCAATAAGGGAGGCAGCACTGCACTTTGGGACAGCTGTTAGGAAGCTTATCCTTACATCAAACTGAAATGTGGCTCTCTGCAATTTCTCATTGCTGTTCCTAGCTCTGCCCTCTAGGGTCACAGGGGAAAGACGAATTCTGCTTCCACACGACAGCCCCAGCCACTCAAATACCTAATGACACTTTCCCTGTTCTGAATCTGCTCATTTCCAAATGGGTTCTGCAAAAATGGAGCCACAGGATTTTGAGACTCTAACCTCCAGGCAAGGAAAATGTCACTGGTGGTGTGCAAACCCCCTTCTCTTCAGTATGCCCTTTACTAAAAAGGTTCTCAGCTGTGATTCCATCGGTCTGGATCTGTTCTCTACCGACATCGACTCCAACTCTCCATGCAGCATAGCAGATGGTCTTTGTGAGTAGCTACAACCAAAACAATTCACAGGTACTAGCCCACTTCATGATAATAACCTAAGCAACTAGTTGTCAGGCAACAGACACACAGGTAAGGACCTGTGCTCAAAGGCCTGAGCAGAGCTTGTGGACATAGCCATAGCATGAGGCAATAAAAGAGGCCTAGAGAGGCAACTGACGTAACAGAGTGTTGGTCTTGGAGTCAGAAAGACTGGGAAGTCAGCTGTCTATGGGACTGTAAGCAAATCATATAAACTCTCTGAACCTCAGTGTCTTTAACCATAAAATGAAGATTATAGTGCCTACTCTTCCAAGTGTACTGAGGTTCCAGTGAGAAAATGTATGTAAAACATTGTGCAAACTTTAAAGCATTATAAGTTGGGGCAGCTAGGTAGTGCAGTGGACAGAGCACCGGCCCTAGAATCAGGAGAACCTGAGTTCAAATCTGGTCTCAGACATATAACACTAGCTGTGTGACTCTGGTCAAGTCACTTAACCCCAATCTCCTTAAAAAAAAAAATAGCATTATAAGTCAGTTATGATGGCTGCTGTGATTACTGGTGTCTGATACTTCAAAGTGCCATGATTTTGTGGGGTCTGAGTATTTCTTCCACTGACACAGACGGCAACCACCCATGGCTTGGTATTCAGGGTTGCTACAGTTTAAAAAAATTTTTTTAATTGACATCTTGCACATGAAAGCTCATTTCCCCAAATCTGGTCTTCCTCCAAACTTGGCTGTGTCAGTTGGATTCTCCACCACTCTTCTTCTGATCAAAATGGTCTGAAACTCCTTCTTGACTCTCCCTCACTCCTTTATGCTCTCAGTTGCCATGTCCTGTTCTTCCACAGTACTTCTTGCCTCTGTCTTCTCTCTACTTCTATAGCTTCTCTCCAACTTCAGGCCCTCATTCCCCTCTCGTATGAACTATTGCAACAGCCTTTCTAATTGTGTTCTCTGTCTCCAGCGTCTTCCCTTGCAAATCTGTCCTCCATATAGTTTCCAAATCAATATTATAATGATATAATGGCAACATAATGTAACAAAGACCTGACACCATGACCCACCCCCACACACCCTACCATCACCTCAAAAACCAATAGCACTCTACTATTGCTACAACAAAATACAAAATCCTTAGACTGGCCTTTAAGGCCATCCATGATCTCTCTCCCACCTCCCTTTTCCAGTCTCATTTCATTTTACTCCCTGAAACTTGGTTCTGGTCAAAATGGCTCAACTAGGTGTACCACATACACAATATTCTGTCTCCCACCTTCTGAGCCTGCCTTTGCACACACAGCTGGGCCCCCATGAGTGAAATGCACTTTATCCTTACCTTCACTGCCTAGAATGTTTTCAAAAGACAGTTCAGGTGCCTCCTAATATCAAAAGGCCCTTCCTGATATCTCCACTAGCTAACACTCTCTACTTCGTGAAATTACATTATATGATTTATACTTACACATCGGTGTGCACCCTGTGTCACCCTAACAGAATGCAAGCTCCCTGAGGTCAGGGCTTATTTCCTTTGTGTCTCTGTATCCTCAGTACCTGGCACAGAACCTAGAACACACCAGGTGCTCCACAAATGCTTGCAGGATTGAACTAAGATGCCTGGGTGATGGAAAAGCCTCTAAACTTAGCTGGGCAGGTCCTTAGATAGACCCTTACGCAAAGCCTTTTTAGCTTAAAGAGCTTGCTGGAGTCCTTCCCCCCACCCCCAACACCTTCTACCACCAACAATGCCTCTGAAAAACCACGAGGAGGCACCAGAGTAGATTCCAGTCAATGGCTGTCACCTCCTCAAAAACTGAAAACTCAAAACCGGAAGGAACAGGGGCTGGATCTAGAGCCTAGCAGCACATAAGCTCTCTGGATCACAACTAAAACCAGAGGCAAGGGCAAATACACAAGGTTGTTCCTGACAGTTGAGGATTTCCTGGCCTTCTGGGGAGTCTGAAAATAGAAAGGGAGGCCCCTCTAAAAGTTTAAAATGCTAGTATATGATCACAGATTGTTGGCACTCTAACCCCTAAGAACACTGGAAGTAAAGGAAAGAATCTTTGAAAATAAAAAGACAGATTGATGGTGTCATGTACTTTGACTTGAAAAACCACAAATTAACATTATTGATGTTGTACTGTATTTTTATTTTGTTAAACATTTTCCAATGACATTTTAATATGGTTTGGACTGCGTGACTGACACCTCTTATCTAGACCAACTCACACTCAAGCAAAATTCCCTTTATATTAATAATGACCCACATTTTTATGAAACTTTGTTTGCAAAGCACTTTACAAACATCTCATTATATAATCCTTATTACAACCCTCTGAGGAAACCAAGGCTCAGAGATATTAAGTGACAGGCCCTTGAGAGCCTGTCAGAGGTGGGATTCAAACACTCGGCACTCTCTGCACTCTAACATGCGGCCTTTACAAAATCCCCCAGTCATCTAGTCCCTGCCTGAAGAAGTCCAATTATAAGGAACTAACTGACCTGCCGAAGCAGTCGAAGCCTCTTTAATTGAGAAATGATCCAATTACCTGCAGGTTTTCTCTCACACTGAACCAAACGGTCTCCCTGTGTCACTTCCCCTCAGTGCTCCCATTCTGCAGCCAGGGCCAACTAGCCTAAATTTCACTCCTCTTCCCCGTGACAGCTTGAAAACTGCTTTAAAGCTCACTCGAAGTCTTCTCTTCGAGGACCGCAGAACACAGATATCAGAGGTAGAGGGAACCTCACATAGCATCGAGCCCAACTCCTTCCTTTCACATATGGGAAAACAATCTCAAAGAAGAACTGATCTGCCCAATTCCACCAAGGGAGAGTGTAGTCTTGGCTCTCAGCATGTAAATAACCTTGTCCTTCTGAAAACGGGCTGCTGTAAGATGTCCTGTGGAGGCTCCAATGGGGCCTCAACTTACCCAGCGTCACCACCATGACGGGGATGCTGAGGCGCTGCCGAGCGCTCTGAGACAATCGTAAAAACCCGTACTCCAGGGAATACTCCACTATGTACTCTTCCTGGGGCCACACTAGGAGAGAACGAGGAAAAGAGAGAGAAGCATTTTAGGTGGAAAAGATGAAATGACAGTTTCCTTAGACACCACCCCCCCCAGTCTGAAAGAAGTTAAAGCAACATGACAAGGAACAAAACCATGGAATTCAGAACTGAACGGTGCTTTAGGTATTCCATCCAACTCTTCACTTTACAGAGAAAGACAGAGGTCCAGAGGGGATTCTAACTAGTAAAAAGCAGAGCTAGAACTTGAAAACAACAGTAAAGATTCCCATTATTGCCACTATTTAACACAGTGCTAGAAATGCTAGCTGTAGCAGTAAGACAAGAAAGAGAAATCGAGGGAATAAGCATGGGCAAAGAGGAAATGAAATTACCGCTTTTTGCAGATGATATGATTTATTTAGAAATCCTGAAGAATTAACCAATAGTGAATTGAAACAATAAATTCAGCAAAGTTGCAGGATACAAAATAAATCCACACAAATCATCAGCATTTCTGTATGTTAACAACAAAACCCAGCAGGAAGAGCTAGAAAGAGAAATTGCATTCAAAATAACTACAGAAGCTGTAAGATACTTGGGAGTGTATTTTTCAAGATGAACTCAAAGAATTTTATGAATCCAATTATAAAACACTGTAGAAATAAAGCCAGACCTAAATAATCAAAGAAGCATTAACTGCTCATGGGTAGGTTGAGCTAATTTAACAAAAATGACAATATTACCTATACTAATTTAATATTCAGTGTTATACCAATGAAACTACTAAAGATACATTTTATGGAGCTAGAAAAAACCCCAACAAAATTCATATAAAAAAAGAAAGGTAAAGAATCTCAAGGGTAATAATGAAAAAAAGTGAGAAGGAAAGGAGATTATCAGTAACTGATCACAAATTATACCACAAAGCAGTAGTTTTTAAAACAATTTGGTGCTGGTTAAAAAATAGAGAACTCATTCACTGAAAGAGAGTTGGTACACAACACATAGAAGCAAACAAACAGCAGCACTGAAACCAATAAATCTTAAAACCCCAAGTTACAGGGAGAAGGGCTCAATGTTTGACAAAAAGTGTTTAGGTTCAAACCAAGCCTCATGCCACATACAAGGATAAACCCCCAATAGATACGTAATATATACATAAAAAGTCATGTCATAAACAAAGTAGAGGAACAAGGAAGAAATTATGGACAAGAGAAGAGCTGATTATTAAACAAGTGAGAAGATCACATAAGATAAAATGGACAGTTTGGATTATATAAAATTAAGAAATTTCTGCAGAAATTTGTTGTTCAGTCATTTTTTAGTCATGAAAAATGAAAAAAGAGTCCAACTCTTCATGACCCCATTTGGGATCTTCTAGGTAAAAACACTGGACTGGTTTGCCACTTCCTTCTCCAGCTCATTTTACAGATGAAGAACTTAAGACACACAGAATGAAGTGACTTGCCCAGCGTCACACAGCGAGTAAATGTCTGAGGCTAGATTTGAACTCAGGAAGATAAATCTTCTTGACTCCAGGCCCAGCGCTCTATCCACTCCACCATCTAGTGCACAAACTTAATGTAGTTAAAATGAGAAGACAAACAGATAAATGGGAAAAACCTCTACAGCAAGTTTCTCTGATAAAGGTCTCACATCCAAGAGGGAACAGATTCAAATTTACAAAACTAAAAGCCATCCCCCAATAGCTAAATGGTCAAAAGATACAACAGGCAGTTTTCAAAGGAAGAAATCTAAGCTATCAATAGCCATATGAAAAATGTTCTAAATGACTGATAATTTCTCTAGAGAATTGAAAATTAAAGCAATTTTGAGGTTGGATCCATCTCACACCTATCAGTCAGACTGGCAAAAATGACAAAAGGAAAAGTTAATACGTGTTGAAGAGGCTGTGGGAAAACAAGCACACTAGGTGCACTGTTCGTAAAGCTGTGAACTGATCCAGCTATTTTGGAAAGCAATTTGAAACTAAGTCCAGAAGGTCATACCAAACTGTGATCAAGCTATATACCACTACTTAGTACTATACCCCAAATTCCTCAAGGAAAGGGAAAAAGGATTTATATGTATAAAGATATTTATAGGAGTTCTTTTTATAGTTGCCTACAACTGGAAACTAAGGAAGTATCCCATTGGAGAATGGCTAAACAAGTAATGGTAGATGGATGCAATAAAATATCATTGTGCCATAAGAAATGACAAAACAAGACTGTTTCTGAGAAAACTGGGAAGACATTATAAACTGATACATAGGCAAGTGAGCATAATTAGAACAACAATCTGGGCAACATTATAGAGGGAAAAATTTTTTTTAAAAGACTTTATAACCAGATTTGATTTATGCAACAATAAACCTCAAGTCCAGAAGACAGATGAAATATGCCACTCAACTCCTGCCAGAGAGGTGATAAACTTAAAACTCACAGAGATACCATTTTTGTAGGTGACATTTTGTTTTTTTGGTCTATCCGTGTTTATAATAAAGGTTTTATTTTTCAGTTGTTGTGGGTAAATTTAGGAGGAAGAGCAGTGGGTAGGGCAGACTAAGAAAAACAAAACAGTATTTGAACCTGGTCCTCGGTCTCCAAATCCAGCGCTCTGTTCACTATGGCATATTGGCTCTCTCAATGCCCGGGGCTAAGATTTCTTGTATTCCTATTCCTAGAGGTTTTCTGGACATCACTCCTTTCACCAGATGACTTGCAGCCATTAATCCTACTCGCACAGTTAACATATACACTCTAGGTCTGCAAGATCCAAGGCCTGTGGCAGTCTGCTCAGAGTAACTGTAAACGTTCATGCATGACTTGCATGTGGCTAGCCCCTGGAGACTGTCTCTTCTGTCAAACAAATTTAAATGGGGAACCAGGTTTATTTAAAAATAAATCCCTGTAACTTCAGCTACTAGAGAGGCAGAGGTGTGAGCTCTCTTGAGCTCAGGAGTTCTGAGTGACAGTGGCTAAGCAGATGGGTTGTCTGAACTCAGTTCAACATTAATATGGCGAGTTCTCAGGAGCTCACCATACCACAAGAGTTTGGCTGGGGATGAGCTAACTGGTCAAGGTCTGAAATCAAACTAGTCAAAGTTCCCAGGCTAATCAGGGTGAAACTGGGCCCATGTACTTCCAGTCAGAGCAAGATATGGCTATCCAGTCTTAGAGCCAAGTCAACAAACTATGGTATATGAATATAAAGGAATACTATTACACCATAAGAAATAACAAAAATTCAGAAAAAACATGGTCAGACCTATGAACTAATGCAGAATGAAGTAAACAGAATGAGAACAGCACACAATGACTACAATGATGTAAATAAATCTGAAGCAACACTAAAGACAGATGAACTCAGATTAAAGGCAGGAAACAACACTGGCTCCAAAAGACAGATGATGAAATACAATTCCATTCTCTTGGTGAAAGTGAGAGATTTGCAGGGGCTGAATACTACTGTACACTGTTAAGACTGTTGCTACTGTGGTAGGTTTTGTTTACTTGTTTTTCTTTGGGGGAGGGAAGGGAGAAGAATTCTCAGGTCATATCTGTGGTATCAAAAAAAAACCCAAAACACAAATCAACCCCCAAAACCAACAAGTATTATTAAAACTTCAAATAGCCATTATTAGAAGCCTACAGAGGGGAAGGGACCTGTTCATGGTTACAGTGTCAAGAGCACAGCTAGGCCCAAACCCAGATCTCTTGCCCTTTTCATTAACCTATACAAAGGCACTATAACTCCGAGCTGGAGTGATTTGCTTTGTAGATGTCACCCCTATCCATTGAGGACGTTTGTTCACAAGAGTCCACTTATTCCTTCTTTTTTCAGCACTAAGCCTAAAGTGGGGAGGCTATGCTTTGGGGCTAGGGAGAAAGAGGGAAAGAGAATACCTAGTCAACAAGAGGCCAACAAAATACATGTGGAAAATGAAGACATGAGGGGAAAAATAAAGGGAAGATATGAGTTTAAAAGACTTCTCTAGCAGTACACTTAAGTCTGTGCTCCTAGGGCCTGGGCTGAACCGTAATCCTACCTACAACAGTGTCAATTCATCCTCCGAGTAACAGAGCTTAAACACACTTCTCCACTTACAGTGAAAAATCATATGCAGGAATAGGTAGAAAAGCACTGAAAAGGATGTAAGGTGTTCAAATACATGAATTTTCCTAAGCTGATATACTTCCCCTTCAACATTAGGGCAGACTTTACATAACAGCTTGCAGTATTGGAAGACAGGCAATGTAAGGATTATCAACCCAATTTTACAGACTAAAAAACTGAAGTTCAGACCGGCCAAGGTATTTTCCCAAGGTGACGTGACCCACAAGTACTGGGGCCAAGAATTCAAACCAAGGTCTCCTGACTTCCAATCAAGTGCAGTACCTGTTTTCATAGAGCTCACAAACAATTATAATATAGATCAGAGCATGGAAAGTGCATAAACGAGATGTGAAGCAAGGTCAGCATAAAAGGAAAGACACATTTCCAATGTTGGGGTGGTGGTAGTAGTTTATAAAAATCAGAATCATCCTTCCTTTTTCATGGCTCAGACTACATCCCAAAATTATTAAAAAAACAAAACAAAACAAACAAAAACCCAACCACAAAATACAAAAATCCTACCTGCCCTAACCCTGGACTAAGACTCCTCTGTCACTGCTGACCACAGCTCCTTGTCCATGGTAAAGGCAGAGAAAGGTCACGTTTAGAACATGCCCTACTTTCTACTTTTAGTGGCACTGGACTATTTTCCCACAATTCTCTTCTATGGTTTTTTGCAATTCTCACAGTTACAAGGTCTTTTCAACCCAGAGATCTCTTGTACCAAGCAGCCCCAAGGCTTCTGACATTCATTTCTTCATTCACACATTAAGGTTCTATGTATAAGGCACTGAGGATATAAAAACAGCCACTGCCCTCAAAAAATGAAATTCTTAATGCTGCACTCTAAGAAATGTTAGGCTTAATGAGGAGAGGATAACGAAAAGAGGAAGCAGAGAGATATAAAAAGTT